ATGTTTTTTTAACCTTCTCAAATGAGGAAAGGAGTAAAATCAGAAGGTTGTTGTCTACAGTATCATGCACAATTAACAAAATCAGTGTCTACAGGAAAACTACCATATTATCATGAAATAGAGCAGTGCTTGCAAACACCTACTTATAGTACCTCATTTATATGCTGTGCAACTCAATTTTATACATTTCTACTAAGACACAACCTGCGCACATTAGTAGAATCAGTTTCCCAGTAATCATGTGAAGGACTGCAGCTTCAAAACTTCAGCTTGGAAATCCCGTTGTATAATTTTTGCCTGGTGACACATGTCCCCAGGCTATAGAACCCACATCCTGATATCTCCATTTTCTATTTTAGAAGGCATACATTTGAGACACAATTCAAGCATTGATAGTTGCAGCCAGATACAATTTTGAAACGACTCCATCTAGAATAATGTTTAAAGATTTATAAGAAGCAACACTTTTGGCTCACAATATTAAGGAAACAATGTACTGTACTACCACCATCTTTTCCTACATGGTAGAGAGTAAGACCCTCCGGATTCCACAATCTCTCCAGCAACAGGTGGTTTAACAAAATACAGCCGCCTGTACGAAAACACTGTACGAAAAATGACCAACCAACAAGAAAACACACATACGATGCTTCTGATAATCTAAAAATGAACATGCGTTGGATGTCGTGCCAAAAGTAATTTTCTGGCGGAAGAGCTTCACTTCTACTTGGCTGAGTAGGCGTCCTTACGGACGCTGGGGTACGTAACAACGCACGCGTGGAGAGAGAGGAGGCCTGACGTTTCTCCGCCAGAGGCGTAGGGGTATAATATATAAACTCGCACCTGGTATCTAACTTCCGAAATCCATGCGCATAAGAATTTCGGGGATGAGAGGCAGATACAGCTGTCTTGTGTCGCCAGAGCTGCAAGACCCTTTGCAAGAAGTTCGGGATATGCTATTGCAAAAGGGTCTTGCGGCTCTTTAAATATAAACCATATTTGTTTGGCATAAACCCCTAAACAAGGGTGGGGGTAAAGCCTTATCGGAACCCTAAAATATTAAAAAATACTTGAGCTTTGGAAAGAATTTTATTGGGTTACTCGGCCTAATCGACTGCGGACTCTCCTTACACAATTGAAGGACTGGAGCCCAAGCAAGATGGTGCCTGATAGAATTCCTCAGCCTCTCAGGTGACACAAGACAGCTGTAGTTGCGCTTACTTTAGCTGAAGAAAAAAAACAACGGATAAATTCTGGAGGATTCTGTTGTCACTCTTTAATGTTTTATCTCTGTATACCAAACTGTAAAAATCCAGAGGTTGCGCATGCGTACCATGATGACACCATTTCCCGGGGGAGGCAAGAGCGGGTGGTTCTTGATGCCTTTTTTCCCCCGGATGGGGGCGGAGTTATTGGGCGCGCTCCCGGCGCTGCCTTGATGTCCGGGAAGAGGAAGCGAAAACCGAAAGTAACAGGTTTGGGTGCTCAAGCCCGGGGTTTCTCGGGTTCGGGGGCTCCCCCCGTCCTCCTCCTCTTCTGACCATGGACGTGGCGGCGCTGGAGCAGGACGCGGTGAAGTTCGCGCAATTGGCGGTTCAGCGGGACCAAGGGGGGCGATACCAAGAGGCGGTCTTTTATTATAAGGTAGGGAGGGCGCTGCCACGGGTTGAACCTCGGATGCGCCGTCTGAACGCGGCCAGCGGGAGCGGGATTGATTATCCTAGCTCCCTTTCCTGGGCAGGGGTCGGCCGACTCAAATCGGGACCCTCCTGTCTCCCTTTAGCTTGAGATGCGCCCTCGGTTGGAATATAGGACAGATCCTTTGGTTGGCTGCTCCTGGGTGTTGGAATCGCGGGTCCTCCCCGGGGGGCTCGCTAGAGGTCGAGCCTGTGCATTTCAGGAATGAATCTTAGTCATTAATGCAAGATTCGAACTGTAGGTTACTGGGTCGGGGGACTGACAGACCTCAGGATTTGTTGCTACAAACCAAGTATGCCTAAGCAAGCGGTGTGATAAACAGGTAGCGTTTGGTCCTGGTTTCTTTTTATTCGTTTTGGTAATACCTGTTTTAAAAGTGTGCGGGTGGGTGTATGTGATCCAACATCTAGCTTATAAATATAACATACAATGCAGTAGGAAAAATACCTTCTAGTTTTAGCAGAAGAGGAAACCCCTTTAATGAAATGTTCCTGCATAGCTACCTGGAAGCCATTCTGAATTCACCACCAGTAGCAGACACATTCCTCTTCACAGGACTGCAGTAGAGATGAATATACTGTTCTGTACTTCAAGTTTTACAATTAATTTTTTTCTGCTACTTGTTCTGAACCTTTCTGAGGCAGTAGTAAATGGATTAGAAGTGACAAATCAGATACATTTGTGTTCTTGAACTTGCATAAAGTATTTGGGACATTTGCTTGTATGTTACTTAGAAGAGGACAGAATGGTGACATCTCTCAACTGGGTAGTCAGAAAAGCCACCTGTAATCATTTGATTTGTTTTCAGATTAAGGATATCAGATGCCATTCATATTTTGGAAATTTAGTTCCATCTTGCACCAGCAAACACAGAGGGTGAGGGTGTGGTGATAAACTAACCTTCAGTCCTGCATGACTAGTCCTTATGTATAATGTTCAGTCATTTTGTAATTATCTTCCTCTTTCCTCCTTTTGTATAGACCTTTTTGACTAATTTTTTACTGTATTTCCTTCCAGAAACAAAATGTTCAATAGCCAATCTTATTTGTATATTAAAACCCACATCCACTGGTTGTGCAGGGATGATTTTGTTAGAGAGCCAATGTTTATTATATCTATGCAGTAGTGATCTACTTATGTTGCTCTCTAAGATCTCATGCAGAGGAAGTACCCAGTCCTTCAAGATCCTTTCAGAGGTTTGAGCAGTTCTCTAGTCTTTCTTGGATACTAACTGCACTGTGTCCCAGCCGTTACGGCCATGGACAGGAGTTGTACTTCAAAAGTATGTAGAAAGCTACAGTGTCACAATCTATGCTTGAATTGGACATATTTAAGACTGAATTTGGGATTTTTGAAGCAAAATGTATGCCCTACCACTGAGTTGTGGGCACTCACCAGAAATGTCATAAAGTCTGTACTGCTGGGTGATGCTAAATGGAACATTAGCATGATTAACTGAGATGGCAAAGCCACAGTGACTCCAAGGTGGCTCCTGTATAAATTCAATATTTTAAAATCTGAACGCCTGTTCTATTTAGTGACCTCTGTTTTTGGAGAAGATATAACAGGTCAGGAGTGAAAACCCTCCGGATGTTTTGAATTATCATGGACAATTGTAAGCAATTTTCATAGGTGTCACTGAAAACATATGGAGAGCCCAAGGTTCCATACCCCTGTGAAATTTTTTAAAAAGAATTACAATATAGCAAGTCTGTGCACCTGTTTGAAAACTGTGACATATTGCTCCTGTAAGATTGCATGCCATGCTGAAAAGGTTTGATATACAGTGGTGCCTCGCTTTACGATTGCCCCGCATTACAATGAAACCACATTACGACGAAACCGCATTACGACGATCTTTTTGCAGTTGCAATTGCGATTGCAAAACGATGGTCTGAATAGGGGTTTTTCGCTTTGCGATGATCAGTTCCCTACTTCACGAACTAATTCTTTGCAAAACGACGATTTTCGGACAGCTGACCGGCGGTTTCAAAATGGCTGCCGGGTAAATAAAATGGCCCCCCGCTGTTTTCTGGGACAGATTCCTCGCAAGACAGCCACTGAAAATGGCCGCCCTATGGAGGATCTTTGCTGGACGGTGAGTTTCCAGCCCATTGGAACGCATTGAAAGGGTTTCAATGCGTTTCAATGGGCTTTTTATTTTCGCATTACGACGTTTTCGTTCTACAGCGGTTTCGCTGGAACAAATTAACATCGTAATGCGAGGCACCGCTGCATGTTGATACTCACAAATGGATCTGAAGCTGTGAGTTCCAGTGATTTTATCACTTAGTAAATATGTCCAGGATCATATTGTGTCTTGAGAAGAAATTCTTCATAGAATATCTTGGTTAGTAAGAAATAGCTTTGCATCCAACTTTAGTGTCATTGATACATTCCTATCTTTTTTCTTAGTAGTGAAGAAATTGGCTAGACCAGTGTTGTTTAAGCAAAATCTCACTTGAAGTTCTGGGGACTTCTGAAAAAGATTTTAGGCATGGGACTTGACTTGCAGCAAAAATAAATAAATAAATAAAATCCATATGACATACCCACTGTCTCAATCAATCAGTCATGCTTTCTTCCAGGATGATGCATTTTATCCATTTCTTCCCATCCCATTTTCCTCTGAGCCTCTCAAGAGCCTCTATTTTGTGGTAATTGAACATGCTTTGTCTTCGTTGAACTGTTTTTATTTTGGCTGAGGGAAACCCTTTATATTTTTTTCATCCTTGCACTTCCCTCTTGAGTGTATGTGGTTTCATTTTCACCACTAAGTAACAACACTTACACCTGTAAAGAGCTCAGAGGATTGTACTGTAAGTACAGAGAGAACATGCAGAAAGATGCTTTGATGAAGGGAGTAGCAAGTAAAATATATAACGTAATTTCGGAACAAGAGGAAAAAGAGTGGGGAACTGAAGGTTTGAAATTAATTTGGGAAAATGACTTAAAGACAATTAAAATACAGTCAACCCTTGACTTACAAACTTAATCTGTTCCGGAAGGAAGTTTGTAAGTTGAAAAGTTTGTAAGTCAAATCAGCATTTCCCATAAGAATGCATTGAAAACCAATTAATCCGTTCTGGCTGTTTTTGGTTCTTAGGTCGAGGGGCGGCAACCCCACACACACAGCATGGCACAGAACCCAGCAACCATTCCTCCAGCACAAAAAGACTCTGGATCCACATTTTAACCACAGGCACAGACATTTTAAAACAATGCAAGACTCATAAGAGCACAGAAACATAACACCCCCACAGTAAGGCATAGCAATCCAGCAACCATTCCTCCAGCACAAAAATGCACTCAAAGAATATTCTCCAATTTTAAAAGACTCTGGATCTACATCCACACTGCAAGATCCATAAGAGCACAGAAACATAACCCCCCCGCAAGGCATTGCAATCCAGCAACCATTCCTCCAGCACAAAAATGCCTTCCTTCCTGAACAAACAGCACATGCACTCAAAGAATATTTTAACCACAGGCACAGACATTTTAAAACACTGCAAGACCCCCCACACACACACACCTAGCCCTACCCCCCCACCAAGCTGTAAAAAACCCTGTACAGTACATACAGTAAAGTAAAAACATGCACTGTACTTACCCAGAACAGGCAGTTGCTCTGCTTAAAAAAAAGAATGTCAAAAATAAAAAAATCCAAAAACCTAAAAATAGCCAAAAATAAAAATACAGTTCAGGCAATACCAGGCAGTCTGAAGACTGTCTCCCAATCCACTTTCTAAACACTGGGAAGAGCGAGGAAGCAGACAGGCACCCTCTTCACTGGCCAACGGTTAACTGAAAGTTCAAACTTTGCACTTTCCCCACCTCCTGCGCGTTTTTTGGTTTGTAACTCAAATCCAAGTTCATAAGTCAAGTCAGTATTTTCCTATGAAAGCGGTTCGTGAGTCAAAATGTTCGTAACTCGGGCCATTTGTAAGTCAAGGGTTGACTGTAGAGGATTGGATTAAAATGTGAAGGATGAGAGTTTTAAGGTCAATGTCGATAAGAATTAAAGAAAATTTTTTAAAAAGTCTGTTTAAGATGGTATTTGACTCCTGTAAAATTGAATATAATAAATTCAGATTATTCCAAAGCTTGTTAGAAATGTGATGAAGAAATTGGTACGTATTATCATATGTGATGGGATTGTAAATTGGTTAAGAAATTTTGGAAACTGATTTTTAAGGAAATATGTGATATATTTGGTAAAGATATTGAATGTAATTCTAAAATTGCTTTGTTGTCAATTTTTGATAAGTTAGATCTTGATTATTACTCGAAGGAATTGATTATTAACTTTATGACAAGTGTTAGAATATTAATAGCTAGGTTTTGGAAAGACAAAAATGATATTGGAAGATTGGTATGGTGAAATTTGGGACATTGCATTAAATGATAAATTGACTGTTGAACCCAAGATGAAAAGAGGGGAAATAAGTTCTAATATTTTTATGCTATTTGGGGTAGATTTGTTGAATTTGTATTAGTGAAAGGAAAGGGGAAAGCCTCTAAACAACAATCTATACAATTTTGGAAGGGAAGTTTGTAATAAAAATATTGTTCAATGGGGTCCTCTGGGTATGGGGTGCACGGTAGAATTTAGTGTATAGCAAGTATTATTTTTTGTATTTTTGTATTTTTTTGTTGGTTTTTGTGTGTCCAGCATGGTAGCTGTTTACATGCGAAACCAGGTCATATTTACATGTGCCACTAAAATAAAAATTAAAGAACCAGAAACATTAAAACGTGTATTATGTTTTCTCTGTGCAGGAAGCTGCACAAGCTTTGATTTATGCTGCAATGGCAGGATCAACCTTGGAAAATATTTCAGTAAAAATAAGTGAATATTTGGAAAGAGTTCAAGCCTTGTACACAGCAGGTTAGTGTGTTGTTGCTGTTTTTTTAAACCCAACAACCCAGGTCTGTTTTCACTACATAATCAACTGGGCACCTTCTGTGATATTACCTAACAATAAAAAGCTCAATTTCATCATCAAAGAAACTAAAATTCTATGTCAAGAAGGCAGTGTGAAAAATCTGTGCACTTATTTATCACATACTCACTAGAGTGACTTATGTGTTGATGTAGGAATTTTACAATGTGAGAAGAGAGCTTTAAAGTGGAGGCGTTAGTGACTGACATGTTGCTTTAACAGACAAGAATGTATTCGTCAGGTTTAGGCTAGACAAATTACTTGTATAAGTTCCTGGTAGAGTATTTTCAAAGACTGAGGCACAAAAGCCCTCCCAGCTTTCCAGAGTCACAAACATCCTTCAGTAAACTGGGTGTGTACAGAATAGAAAGCATTATGCAACCCGACCCCCTCCGGGGCTGCTGCACTGTAACTCCCACCATTCCTGGCCATACTTGTTGGGAGATTTGCGACCCAATGCACTTCAAATGCACCAGGCAGCAGAAGACTGAAGCTTCATATTGCAGTAAATACAGTGGACCCTCTACTTAAGGAATTAATCCGTATTGGAATGGTGGCTGCAAGTCGAAAAGTCTGTAAGTCGAATCTCCATTGACCTACAATGCACTGAAAACCGATTAATCCCATAACCAGTGGGTTTTATTCTATTTTTATTCCATTTTGGTTTTTTTCTGGTCTGTAAGTCGATTCTCTGGCTACAAGTCAAATCTAAATTTTGCAGCCAGAGAAGTCTGTAACTCGAAAAGTCTGTAAGTCGAGGGTCCACTGTATATGATATTCCACTTTGGCTCTAAGATTGTGTTTACTGATGAACTGCTAACTGTTCTAATCAAAGACTGGCTGTCTTGTGATTTTCTTAATCCAGTTCAGTCACAGAAAGTGGACCCCTTGAAGTCAAAGCAGCAGTTGGACCTGGAGCGTGCTCATTTCCTGGTTACTCAGGCTTTCGATGAAGATGAAAAAGGCAACAAAGATGAAGCCATAGAGTTGTACACTGAAGCCGTGGAGCTCTGTTTGAAAACAGTATGTTAAACTTCAACATAACTTGATGCAATTAATGTTATGGTAAGAAATTCTCCCATTTATGGAGATGATTTACATGCAAGGTGTGCACCCACATCACGCTTTAGAGATTTGAAGATGCCGTACTTAGCTAGATGTAAGGAAGCGTGGGGAAAGGCATATAAAAATATCATATCTCTTGAGCAATACTTCCAGCCACCATGTCAAGTTATTCCACATTATTCTCCTCTAGTGTATGTGATGTAGGGGCACACCTTTTGATACTGGCCTAAAAAGTGGGACCTGTTTGGTCTGTGCACTTCCTACATCGAATTCTGTTGAAATAAGAAGAGAAGCAGAAGCCTTGGGAGTGCCATTTTGTAAAGTCTTCTTCATTGCAACATGAACTAACTGAAGTCATGACTAAGTTGTCCCTTTGATTTCAATGGGGAGCCAAGACCAGGTGTCTTACAGCATAATCTTGTGCATCTCCTCCAGAATTAATCTTTTATATCAATGAGCCTTATCCCCAGGAAAGTTTAGTCTGGCTCCAAACCTATCAATTGCAGGTACCACTTTTCATAAAGCCAGTAGTCAAAATGCATTTAAGGAAGAGCTCGCCATCATGATGTAACTCCACCAAGTATGATTATTACTTTTTCTTTTATTTTCTTGAAATAGAGCATTTGGGAAGGGCAAGATGAAAAGTACTTGAGTAATCAGTAATTAATTTATTACACATAACTTAAAGTGTGTCTCTGAATTGGCTAGAACGTTCATATCTACTTTAGTACTGAACCTATTCTTTGTGAGGCTTCTTCATTCATTATGTTCAAAAACTGTCTTAAGTCTCAATATTTGATTCTCCTGCATTTCTAGAACAGTATTGTGATGTGAGGTGGTGGGAAGTGCTATGTAATGTATACTAATTAATACTTTAGCTTGATTGTTGTAGATCACAAGTATGAAAATCATTATGTACTATCGGGTTCCAGTGCCATCAATTCTAGCCTACATGCTCAATGTCATAAATATAAGGTACAGTGGTGCCCCGCATAGCGAGATTAATCCGTTCCGGATTAACCCTCGCTATGGGAAACATCGCTCAATGAAACGAAAAAACCCATTGAAACGCATTAAACTTGGTTTAATCCGTTCCAATGGGCCCCGAAACTCACCGTTGAGCGATGCTTCCCTATGGTCGGCAGCCATTTTTATGCCCTCCCCTCGCTTAGCAAGGGCGCGAAAACGCTGCGCGCGGCCATTTCGGGGCTTCTGGCGGCCATTTTGGAGCCGCCGAACAGCTGATCCGCAGGTCGCAAAGCGAAGGTCAGTAAGCGAAACGCTTACCGACCTTCGCTATGCGACTTTCGGCCATAGAGGCCATCGCTTTGCGATCGCATTAGCGATCGCACAAACATCCTCGCTATGCGGATTCGTCGTTCTACGGTGCGCTTGCTAAGCGAGGCACCACTGTATAGTCCAATAGCATCTGAAGGTACCCAGGGTCATCACATCTCATCCAAGTGCTTCACAGCTATGAGGAAAGCTATCTCTGCATGTTGCCCATACCTGGATGAGGAATCATTCCTGTAAATTGGTTCTGTAGAGTACCTTCCTGATCCAGTAGTCACAGTTGGTATCCGTAACCCTAAAACAGATCTAAGGAACCTTTGACTCTCTAGATGGTTTGAGCTTTAACTTGCAGAAACCCCAGTCAACATGGCCAGTGTTAAAGCCACATTGTACGCTAATGCTCCCCCACCCATCCTAAACAAAGCTAAAGTCCCACCAGTTGGCTGTTTAGGAGAGAAAGGAGCAAGCTCTCATTATCTGTCTTCCCTGCTACCACACTGATGTGAGTGGGTTCATCTACCTTTACACAAGTATTCCGCAGTTTGAAACTCATGATCAGAGGTGGGTCTGCTTTAAATTCAGTGGTTTTATTTAATGTTTCTGGTAACTTTTCAACAATAACGTCATCCCTAGCCTGAGAGCTTAAAAGTCAAGAGAAGCTGAAACATGTGGTGTCTCCCTGTTCCTGATTCCCTTTGCCAACCCTGTGCCACTGATGAAATCCTATTTTTAGCTGCACACTACCCTAGTTGTGACTAAAGAGTCTGTCGTAAAGGTATCGTTGGGAGCTTGTGTGCACCCAAGGCTGGGGCTTCCTATGCTGAAGTCTGCCAGTTGGCTTGTGCAACAGCGGAACAACTGTCACTCACAGGGTTAATTCAAGAAATGTGGGTGCTGGGCAGGAATTTTTAGTCTGGTGAGGCTTTTAGCAAGGCCAGGGTTTTACTGTCAATCTTTACCTCTCCCACTTTTCTCCTTTTAGCCTGGCTATAACACTATGCTGTTAAAAGGTTTTTTCTTTTTCTTTTTTCTTTATCCAGCACAATAGAAAGCAATTTTTTGCAGAGATCTTTGGCCTTGGAAGTGAGGCACGAGTCTTAACTCTAGGCAGCTGGGAAACCTCTTTAGTTTCATGGACATCCACCCATCTCAAGCCTTGAATGGTTCCACAAGTGCTTTGCTTCTCAAGGAGAATGACACTGATTTTGTGGAGATAATTTTTAAACATTTAACAGGCCTTTTATTTCATGGGTTGTGCCATCAGTTTCACAGCAGTTGCCAGTCCTATAACTTGTGTGCATCCATTTGCACAAATATGTTGGGTTCCCCCTCACACATAGTCCAGGATTTGGCATCAACAAGCAAAATATCATTTGAGTTATCAGAATGACACTACTGAATAATGGCCCCAATCTTGGCAACTGGATAGGGGAGGGGTTTAAAATGAGGCAAACTAGAGGTATCTATATATTACTGGAACAGAAACTGAACAGTTCAGGAAGCCACTAGTCATACTTGGGGGCTTATTATTTGTTTATTTCACTTTTATG